TCCGATCTGGGTGCCAGAGGCAGGCTCTGGTCGGGAGGTACTTACCTGGGCGGCTCCTGTCCAGCTGCCCAGCAGGTTCCTCAGCCAAGTGGGGGCCACGTGTCCTGCTCTGAACACTGGGAGTCGGGGCGAGGGAGCAGGGGTTCTTAGTGTGCTGCCTGTCCTGCAAATAGGCAGCTCCCATTGGCTGGAAACAGGCCAAGGGAGCTGCAAGATTATGCTGGGGGCAGGGCAGCATGCAAACCCTCCCTTCCCTGGTCTCCCAGCATTCAGAAAGCTGCTCTGGGCAGCGTGTGGGGGAGGGGTGGGCAGTGAGCCGGGCCAAGGCCCCTGCGGGCCAGTTACAGCTGCTCGGGGAGCCGGGTCTGACCCGTTTTGCCCATCCCTGAATTAGAGGCTTGGGCTGTATCGTTTCTGAATGTTGGGTGGCTGCATGAAACCACCATGAAATGCCTGGGGTTTGGAATGCCCATGTGCGTGTGGATGTCCCAGGAGGTAGCCGGTTGGCACGTCTCTGCCGGGCCTCACACGATGTGGACGGACCAGCTTTCAGGAGCAGGGGTGAAGCCGGCCTAACGCCCAGTGTGGAGAACTTGGGTGGCAGAATAATTTTTCTGTCGACCCGTCTCAGGGGGTGGATTTTCTCTAGCGATGGGAAAACCCCTCCCCGTGCTGTCGTGTCTACACGGAAGTGCTGCAGCTGGGCTGCGGTAGTGGTTTACGTGTGCACAAAGCCGGAGATGAGGGAGGATGCAGGGCTAAGGGGCAGAAGCAGCCAGTGGCGGGAGGGAGGGGAACATGCCTGACCATAGATGAGCCCCAAGGACTCCCAAAGGACAGGTAGGTTGTGAGGGACGCTGCTTTGGTGACACTTATGCTAGGTTAGCAGACACCACACTGGTAGGGCAAAATTCATGGCCATGAAAAATGCATCGTGGACTGTGAAATCTGGTGCTTTGGCTCTAAGGATTTGATGGGGGACTCTGGCATTTCTCAAACTGGGGTCCTGACCCAAAAGGGAGTTGCGGGAGTGGGGGGTCGCAAGGTTATTAGGGGGATTCTGGTGTTGCCACCCTTATTTTAGCTCTGCCTTAAGAGCTGGGCAGCCAGAGAATGGTGACTGCTAATCAAGGGCCCAGCTCTGCAGGCAGCAGGGCAGGTGTAAATGTGGCAACACCATCCCATGTTATTCTGACTTCTGCGCTGCTGCTGCTGGTTCTGCCGTCAGAGCTGGGCGCCCAGCCAGCAGCCATCTATCTGCAGCTGCCAATCTCTGAAGGCAGTGCTGCCAGCAGCAGTGCAGAAGTAAGGGTAGCAGAACCCCCTTACAATAACCGTGCCCCCCCCAACTCCTTTTTTGGGTCAGGATCCCTTCATATACTGTGACCTATGAGATTCAAATAGCTGAAATGAGGAAATTCACCATTTAAAAAACCCTGTAACTGTGAAATTGACCCAAATGGACTGTGGACTGGGCCTGTCTGTTCCCGAGAAATCGGTTCGCTTGTGCTAACAATCCCCTGCAATAGCACAACTCCACAGGTAGGAAACTGATCCTATCCACACTTCATCATTCCTTCTGGATCTTGGCACCAGTCTGGTAGGTGTCTTTCCGGACCAGCACCAGGACCACGAGGATCCAGAACAAGGATACGGAACAGAATGAGCTAAGGAACAGGGATGAACTGGTGGGCTGGATTTTCGTGGTGTGAAAAGAATGTTGTAACTTGTAAAAGCATCCTAGAAATACTCCTTGCTGGAACCTGCGCCTTTTGGGCGCCCCCTCCTTCCTCATCTGTGTCCGCAAACATGAGCCACAGAAATCGGCATCCTCATCTGTGTCCGCAAACATGAGCCACAGAAATCGGCATCCTCATCTGTGTCCGCAAACATGAGCCACAGAAATCGGCATCCTCATCTGTGTCCGCAAACATGAGCCACAGAAATCGGCATCCTCATCTGTGTCCGCAAAAATGAGCCACAGAAATCGGCATCCTCATCTGTGTCCGCAAAAATGAGCCACAGAAATCGGCATCCTCATCTGTGTCCGCAAAAATGAGCCACAGAAATCGGCATCCTCATCTGTGTCCGCAAAAATGAGCCACAGAAATCGGCATCCTCATCTGTGTCCGCAAACATGAGCCACAGAAATCGGCATCCACACGTTTGGATGTGGATCCCCATGGATAGAAAGCAGGTATCCACAAATGTGCATGGTTCTAGTTACAAAGTTTGTATCTGCATCTGTATCCACAAACATGAGCTGCGGCTGTCCGCAGATGTACAGGGCCCTACGCCCACCTTGAATGAAGGCAGAAAGGGGTGTAAAATCCCACATTTTTCAACTAAAATCTACCTGCTGAGGCAGAGCGACTCAGGATCCCCCTCGCTACCAATTTCTGGGTTTTACAAGAGACAGATCAACTCAGAGCAGTAGGACAATGACAAATTTCAACCAGAGCCCAATTTCAAAGACTTCCTTTGAGCAATGTGTGAAGAGAAACCAAACAAAAGAGACAAGGAAAATTCAAAGGACAGCCCCCCTCCCGCCCCCCCTGTGAAGTTTCACATCAGCTGGCTCTCTGCCTTTAGAGCAAAACCAGCATCGATGCCCCTTTGAAGCCCAATGTAGAACACAGCTGAGGCGTCCCTACAAGTTGCTTTGTGAATTTGACAGGAATAGTTTCTGCCATTCCCCAAACAGTCTATGGTTGTGACAATTTTCTTCCACTATTTGATCTGAGGAAGTGGGTCTGGCCCACGAAAGCTCATCACCTATTAAACCATCTTGTTAGTCTTTAAAGTGCTCCATAGTCCTGTCTTTTGTCCCTTCTGTGTTGTGAATGTAGCGGCGCTGTACTATCCGGCTTCCCAGGCACTGCTCAACTGTTCTTCCTGATGACTGGCTTTTACGAATAAACTGACAGATATCCAGTTCGGCCTCTTGAATTTATTTCCTAATGGGCCAAAGGATGCATGTAATGTATTCCAAACGGGTGGGCAGGCTGTTGACAATCTTGTGTACGTGTACTGTTCGTTTTCTCCAATGAACTCACCCAGAATAATGATCAAAGACAAAAACACCATGTCTTAGATGAGTGTATGTGCTCATTTGTGCATATTTACTACTGGACAGATTTGAACTAGGAACCTCGGTTTAGGCACCTCTATAGCTTGAGCTATAAAGCCAGCTGCTTCTTAGCCTGCACTGTAGAGCTCCCTTATCCTTAGCTCTTGCTGTAAGTGGTCTAAGTGCCACAACATGGGACAGTGAGCCACCCTAGCTGTGTGGGTTGTATGTGTGCACATGTGTATGGGGTGTGTGTGGATTTGTGTGTGTATGGGGGTTTAGGATGTGTGCGCAATATGTGTGGATTTGTGTGTGTGTGTGTGCGGGGTTAGGTTGTGCACATGCATGTATAGGGTATGTTTGGGTTTATGTGAATATGGCAGATAAGGTGTGTTTATGAGGATGGGGTGTGTGTGGGTTTGTGTGCATAAAGGGGATGAAGTGTGTTTATGAGGATGGGGTGTGTGTGAGTTTGTGTACATAAAGCGGATGAGGGTGTGTGTATGGAGTCCTGTGATAAATTCCATTTTGATTATTTGACTCCGTTTGGTACAAGCATCAGAATCAGTAGCCTAGGGCACAGGGGTGGTAAAGGCAAACAACACAAACGCACATAGGAACCAGCAATAATACACAGCATTCCCCTCCTTGACAAGCCATATACAAGCGTAATGATTACGCTCCATCTTGTCTTGAGTTCAGCTACTGATCCCAGATGCAGCCTTGTGAGGAACAGTGAGCCGGAAAGAACCGTGGGCCCATCCTGACATAGGCTGTACACCAGAGACTTATAAGCTAGCAGTTTATAACATCTCTGCTAAGAGCCTGTATCGAGAACTGGGTGATTCAATGCATGTAATCTATTCTCCTTAACAACCTTCCTCTCGTACTTTTCTGTCTTTCGTTAATAAACCTTTAGATTCTAAAGGATTGGCGCAGCGTGATCTTGTGGGTAAGATCCAAAGTGTAAATTGACTGGGAATTGTGGCTGGTTTCTTGGGACTGGAAGAACCCGTTCGGGGTAGGTGAGATTGGGTTCTAAAACCCCTCACCTGTGTGCAGGCCCGGGGCCGATTGTGGCACAGAGGGAGCTGGGGTGCCAAAGGGGTTTTGCTCGTGAGGCTTTAGGCTGGACAGATTGGCAGCTGGAGCACTCGGTGTGACCGGTTTGTGGCCTATTTGGGAAGGTCTCCAGTCTGGGGCTGTAA